GCGAGCAATGCAATAACACACGACGCTCACACAGCTAATTGCTAGCTTTTAATAATATTGAAAGTCTGCACAACAGAAATCAACATACTGATCGGCGCAGCTCGATCGTAAATCGTAGAGCCAATTCAACAGTGTGCAGCACGTGCTATGCCGCGCCCACTAACAAAACGCAAGCCAATCAGAAGCGAGACACAACACAGACACGTAATCCGAGTGGCGCAGCGTTGCGGACGTGAACGCTAGTGAACCCCCGCTCACAGTACAATTGCTGCAGGCTTCAGCATAATGACCTCTTAGCTCCAAGAAATCTTTTGGCTGCCACCTGCAGCCATTGGTTTTTTTTTGGACTTGACAGGACGAAGTGGAACAACCTCTCACATATCTCTGGAAACGACAAGCTTTGTTTGTCGGCTTCGGTCAACGATTCCTTGAACAATGACTGCCGTGGATATGAGAATCGTGCATGCCTGGAACATATATTGACCGTTTGTCAGAACTGTAAGAAAATACACTGCGCCGCCTACTTTAGCTAAAAGATGTCTTGAATATACGAATAGCCCTCCTCCTGACAATCTTAAGGGGTAATTGTTCGCAGCTTGCTCCATAACGTCGAGCAGATCCAATAGATTCTGGAGCTCCTGGTGAAGGACAATCTTTAAGCAGCGTAGCGCACGCAAGTACATATGAAATTATGTGCATAGTGCGCCTTACTCTTGCATACGCCGGCACCGTCTGCATATAATCTTCCACAAACATTTGCAAGCGGTAGATGGCCAGCGGAGATTCGCCTATCTGCAATAAAAACGCTGACAACAAATTCACGCAACTCCCCGTGAGAGAAAATGTCATAACATACATCCATGTTAAAACACTACCTGTTCGTTAGCTAATACAAGCGGGATTGTAAACAGCGCTAGCAAAACGGAGAAGGTAAAAAAACTCAGGTATTTAAACACAACGCTATCCACAGTTTCCGGTCTGCTGTACAAAAGCACTGCCAGGAACGAGCAAGCCAGAACCATGCTGAATCCAAATAAGCCAGCCAATGTCCAGCTGTAAACGCGGTTCAAGAAATCGGCGCATTCCATCAATGCGATCTGGAAATTCTGAAAGTTCTCCACAAGCCGGAAAACGTCCACGGGCGTTCTGCTAGGCATATTTTCACAAACAGCCCTCATACGAGCTTGCATTTCCTTACACGTATCGCGTAACATAAAGGCGTTCGTAATGGCACAGATTTGCAGTTGCTGCACTAAGTAATAGGGAATCGTGCAGAAGCCTGTCCATAAAGGAATACCTTGTAGGACAGTGATCGGTATGGGCAATGGTGCAAAATATCCCTCCCCGTCAATTTCTTGCCAGTATGGATCATTCAAGTATGTCCACCAGGAGATGAACTCCCAGATAGCAACCATCACGAAAATCAGCGCCGACAAACCAGCAGCTGTTGCTTTCCATCGCTTCACCGCGTCAGTTGGAATGGAGCCTAAATTAATTACCTTTCTCAAAGAGCTTTGACAGGTGTGCCAGTGATGCCTGGTCACGAGGTAGGCCAAGGAAACCATAGAAGGTTGCAAAGCATAGAAACAGTCCCACAGGACGCTGATAGCGTAAAGTATGGGGTTTTCGTCCGGGCTGTGGGTTGTCTGTAAGCTTTCGGCGGCTACGGCAGCCGTGTTCAGCATTGCGTGTGCAAAGCCTCCTAATACAAGTACAAACGGAAATAAAGATACTACTTTTCCGATGTCTTTCCATTTACGCAGTCGTGGAAACACTGTAAGAGGTGGTAAGTAGCCGGTCAACGCCAATATCTGCTCCGGTCGAATGCGGGGGTCCATGAAAGCTAACTGATTGCGCACGAACAAGTAATGAATCGAATAATGCTGAAATAATAAAGTAATTTAGTACAGAGAATGCATTGTAGAGTCTTCTGGAACCCTTGATACCATTTTCATGGTCTTTTTTTCCGACTCAGCACAGCGCCAACCATGCATTACATAAACTGATACATGTTTGACAAACAGAGGAGAGTACTGGGATTTCGATCAATTGAATGAACATTAAAACAAATACAATTGGTTTACGTACATCCCAACCGGTGCGGCCTTACTTAATTGCACAAAACTTTGGAGCCTTAAGTTGTTGTGTACAAACAACTATATTCGCAAAAGATTGTCAGAAAAAGTGCAAATATTAGCACGTGAAGTATTAGATCAGGACAGACTTTATGCATGCCTGATAACTGGACTGTCAGGTTACGCAGTGATCCGTAAATTCAAACCACTATAAATTTATACTGCTTTTTTTGGCTAAAATTTTACCATCTAAACCCATAAAATTCTTTCCATTCTTTTGAGCTATATAGCGCGACCGATCAGAAGCGACCAGGAGTACTTTTTTGGTATCGTAACATGATAATAACATAGGGCTACTCTGTACATTACGGCATCTCATCTCCCGCCGCGTGAAGCTTCCAGTATAAAATCGGCCTTGAGTACAAATTCTATACTCGCTTCTAATTGCGGATGATATCGATGTACATTTATCCCGTCTTCACAAACACAGATGAGGAATATCTAGGATGAACTGCTTCTCGATTCACGCTCCGAATCCATGGCTCAATCCGTATCAATTCATTATACATAGTCCAGGAAAACACACAGGCTTCATTCAGCTTTGTCGCACGTGTGAAATATGGGAGTTTTACCTTGAGCCGAAGCGTCCACTATCCCGATATCGAACCGCATTCGGCGAATATCGAAAATTTAATAACGCAGCACTGGAACTCACTGTTAAAAATATCATGTCGTTCTTCACACCGTGGACCACTGGCCTAAGCGGCGGTGCCGCTCGATTGCGACAAACTTTTCAACAAAGGCTTACAGAGCTACACAACCGAAGTACCTACAGATTTTCCGAAGGTTCGTCGACCAGGTGATTGTGGGGTAGAACGGAAGGACGGGATTTCCAGCAATAATAAGGCTTCGATGACGGTGGCGACAACAGCACTTCCGACGAATAAAAATCATTCCCGGTCGTCACCCTCCTCCCGGGACCATCTACGTAAAACGTGCTGCAGGACACTGGCAACATGGATTACGTAACCGTCGTCAAACTCACTTCCGCTCGATTAGCTTGATTACCACGACAAAATTTTCGTTCAACCGGACACTCAAACCGAAACGGAGATTTCTCGATGTCGCTGCCGAACGTGGTCAACCACGACCTGCACTTCGGACCCATGTTCAAGGCAAAAATCAGACAAAATTTGTCTGATAACTGATAAAAATTAAATAACTGCCACACGGCTGCTCTTCTTTACGAACTGAGATTACGGTGTATGCGAATGATGCGATAATATTATAAGGTTGCGTTCATAAATAAAAATGAAAATAAAGAAAGAAAAATTTACAGATCGCCATAAACATTCGGCTAAAGCTATTCTGCCGCAATTTGTTAGTGCGGCAAAATAACCACTTCGTGCACTTTCGGATACATACGTCACAGCTTGTTTATTTATCGAAACCTGCGGCAAAATATGGGTAGCTAAGGGCTACTTGAAGGCAGTGAAAGGCGAAACAGGAAACGGCTATTCCATTATGATCTCCGCCATTTTTTAAAAGAACACAGGTAGTTTTATTCAGCGAGCTGTTTCGAAAATTAGTTTAACAGTATCTCTAGCCTGAGGTGAGTGTCCAGCTTTCTGGATGAAGAGTATTGTGAAAGATTGCGTTTACAGTGGTACTCGAACGACATACATGTATTTTTGTCTACGCCTTATTTTTCAAGCTATCGAAAAAAAGTTTCGATCATCGTGGAAGAACTGTACAGACGAAAACTTGTTTAAGGGAAGTGTGTTGATACAAAGTAGAAAATTCGGATACATGTGCTAAAACTTTCGCTTTCGCGCAAACCAAAACAATTTTTTGTCTTGTTTTATGGCATTCTGTAGCCAAATGATATGTATACGTTAACTGAAAGCCGTGTGCGCGCGCAACATCCGGTTCGGGAGTTATGGCTGTTAGAAATTCCAGAAAGTTTAAATGCATTCACGTACCACAAGTCTCATTATAAACCCATCCACTTCAAATTTTGCACGAAAACGCACATTACCATGAAGATCGTTTTTACACCGAATCAGCTTTAAATATTTTTTTTGGAATTTTAAAATGAATTTCAAAATTTTTACAAAACCCATTTCAAATCGAAAAAAATGTTAGAAAGGTAGTTTGGTAAAAAACGATGTTGTGCGTTTTCGTGCAAAATTTGAAGATCTGTTTATAGTGAGACTTTTGGTATCTGAATGCATTTAAACTTTTATGAATTTTATCTCACCGGCAACTCCCCAACCGGAAGTTGCGCATACAAACGGTTTTCAGGCCACGTATACAAATCATCTGGCTGTAGAATTCACTTTCAGAAAACAAAGTAAAGAGAAGTGCTTAGAAGTGCGCGATAGCGAAAGCTTTAGCACATGTACCGCATTTCGGTGCCAGGTACCGGCACACGTCCCATAAGTGGTGGTGCTGGTTTTATGAGGAAAATTCGTAACCTAATTATTAAAAAATAGCCTTATGCTGAATTGATGTGATAGGCCAAAAAGTAGAGACGCGCTGCTACATAAGTCACCGAAAAAGACAAACGCTGTGCTCCGGTCTATCAACAAACCCAATTGGTGCAATTTCCTAGTTGTTACGTTGCAAGTCGGAACACAACTACTCGTATTTTAACCAGTGTGAAGGGCTTTGAACTTTGAAGTACTCGTACTCCTGTGTCGGCAATGGCCTGTTTTCGCATTTAACGCTCACTCGAGAGTACATGTCTTGTGCGTGACTACGAGTACGTTTCTGCTTTCATTCTGGTTGCGCTTATCAACATCGCGCAAAACCGGTTTTTAAGATAATCGTGCTGTCAAACATCTGCAAGCCACGTTAACATGGCTTAGTAGTAAAGCCACGTTGCATCTACGAAAAGCTGTTAACATTTTAACATTACCAGGTCTCAATAGGTGTTATTGCACTTCAGTACCGACGATAATTTTGGCGTATGTTTGCAGCTTCTATCGTTTTTTGTATTTTAAAAATTATAATTGTCGGTGTCCATAGGATTCTGGGATGATTTCCGGTTCTAAAAGGAGAAACGTCATTCTGCTGTACGGAAGGCATCTGCCAAAGATACATGTTGATTCGGCGACAGCTGCAGGCGCCTACAGAATGGTTGGTCAATTCATTCTTAGTACAGAAGTTCCAGCAAATTATTCTTTTGGATATTATTTCCAGTAAATATTTTTTTCTACTGCTGATATAGGTCGACTTAAAACGATAGACGAGATAAGATCGACTTAACTCATTTGTTAAATTTACGCTATGAATTTGGCTATTAATTTTCTAATTTCTAATAAGGTTTTTCTTTAGTTTGAAAATTCTTCAAACTGAACTTATTTTTTTCTTTTGAATTGAAAACTGAACCTATTTCTTTCTTGAAAATCGAACTTATTTTTTTACGTAATTGAAATGCTTGCAGGCGGATTTTCGTCCTGTTTTGGTGTACTCAATCCAGTTTAAGTTTCATTATAACGAATAAATACTTGTATTTCTAAATATGATTTTCAAAGATTTAAAAGTTCCGAATTTTCGACTACTATTTGACTATTTGTTTGCTGGTTGAATGTATTCTTATTTTTTTACAATCATTTTACATAAATTATTTTCGGCAGTTTGGTATTTTATTATTTGTTAGCTGTTAACTGACTTTTTTGTTTATGTCATATTTTTGTTTGGTGTTTACGAGAATTAATCCTAAATTGTTTTGAGAATCAAATTTCACCATTTTTTCTGTGGTTTGAGAATATGCATAATTTAAACTTTTGCATTCCAGTCGTAGGCGGGTCGATCGTTTACGGTATTTCTTTCAACGTTTTGCGTAAATTACCATCCGATAATTGGGCACTTGATTTTGGTTTTAAAAATTGACTTCGTGTGCGTTGTTACTTAACTGTTAATTTCTAAAATTAATTCCCTATTTTTTAAGAATTAATCTCAATATGTTTTCTGCGTTTTACCGTATTACAGTTGTTGACTTGTTGTACTACCGACGTTTTACTATCCGTTGTTCTTTACTAGTATAAAGTAAAACCGCGAATACATATGCACCAGTTTCGCTCGACGCCAACAGGCAAGTTAATTAAAATAATTAACAGAACGCAAATACTAGTGCAAGTACGGCAAGCGCCATTGGTGCACAAAACTGTAACTAACATCCACAATTTGTGCACGAGGCATAAATACCTGTCCTTGCTGCAGTGCAAGAATCGGGGAAGGAGCGCCTACAGAATATACAGTAGTAAAATACCTCAAGGTGCACGGTGCACAAAACATACGGTGCATGCACCAGTGGTGCACCAGCATGCAGAGTTAGTTCGGATCTTTACTGGTACCATCAAGGTAATGCACGAGACTATAAAAATTTCTCAAGTTTTTGATGTGGAACAATGCGGAAAACACCGTGTGACTGGCGTCCGAAACGCGAATAGATATTTTTGGAGAGTCTGGATTCCGAAAACTGAAAAGCGTCTCAGGGAAGGCGCTCGTCGTTCTCATCCAGTACCTCATTGCGAAGGTCAACAAGTATTGAACCTGAATGGAACATTTTAGTGTGGATCTTTAGGTTCAACACTTGTTGGTGGATCCGTGCCTCGCCGTGGTTGTTGCGAAAGATTTGCTGTTCTCCAGAGCCGCAACAAAAATATCCTGGGCCATTATGGCAAACGAAAACATGCGTTGGTTGACATACAGTAGGAGCTGTGCATCAAAGACGCCGGAACAAACGAGAAAAACTGAACAAGTTGTTCTTGGCTGGTCCAGTGACTTTGATGTACAGCCCCAAAAACCCTTTCAATCGTCTCCATCTTACAGAATAAATGTAAAGCAATTCTAAAATAAAAAAAGTGTCCTCAACGGGCATTCTAATATATCTAGGAATAGTGTGGGTTTTTCAGTTCTTCCGTGCAGTATTCAATTTGTAGTGAAAGTGAAATAAAATACACCGCGTACGGGTGTACAGATATCTGTATAACGGGCTGTTCATATTTTTGCAATGTACAAGTACAATGTAGGACTAAATGGTCGCATAGCCCCATACCCAGCATTCTGTACGCAAGCGGTGCAGTGCACTTGTACGAAACGGATATTTTGAACTCAGTCGTACAGTGCACTGCGCTGCATTCGTACTGAATGTGGAGATGTTGGGTATGCGACCATTTTGTCCTAAGCTGTATTATTAAGCGGACGCAGACAAGTGAACGCCCGGACGTACTCATCGCATGGTTCTTGAGATAATGATTCAAAATATTCAGCTACAAATTATACAAATTTAATTACAGTAATACTTTCCGTACATGTACGAGTATATTACCAAGTGCATGCATAACGCAGAAACTGGCGTGAAGTTGTCAGTCAGCTAGTATGACAGCGCGTTTGGGATGAGTCTTATCTGTGAACTGCAGAAACCTAACAAAAAGTTTTGGTTAAAAGCAAACGAAAGATCCGTATAAAGCAACGAAATGCAGATAATTAAAACAAAAGCAATTGCTTAAGTGATGCTATAGATGCTGCTCATTCGAGCCGATTTCCCTGATGGTTTGGAGCGGCTGTATTCAGCACAGTATGCATCATAACATGCATAGCCAGAACACGATATTCGTGATCACCGCGTAGATAAGAGATATATTCCAGCAGGACGCAAATTGTTCATAAAGCGAAAATGAGGGAGGAGAAAAGCATAATTTTGGCTAGGTAGGAGAGGGGACGGGTTTCGGTACGTTCTCCACGAAATCCAACCGAGAAACATTCTACGCTTTTTTCAGATTAAACTCCGTTATAATATGTATTCTCGTCAAAACGCTCATTCTTATTCAAAAATTGGGACGTCGAAGCCGATTCGTTCGCAGGGAACCGATAAAAAGTGGCCGTAACTACCAACCCGTGCAACGCCCGTCTTGCTTTCTCATAGATATTGTCGTTTTACGTAGATGCTGTGCGGTTCTAACCTGCAAGTCTAATGTAAACAGACGAAGTCTGTCTAGGTATATATTATGTTAGTCTAGTGTCCGACTCTTAATTACTCTTAACCGTCGTTTGGTGCTTTTTCGACTGTCTGTCCTTTAAAGGGGAAAAGATGGGAACTAAAGGACTCTAAAGGTTAGCCTCAGCCTTCCATCCGGCTGGTCAGTTGCCGATTCTGTGTCGCACTACCATTCGAGTTGTGAGGACTACTGAAAAGACGTTGTATCGCAAAGCTAGACAGTACTCCACAGTCCACACCAGTCGTAATTTCATAGGGCAATTAGAAACTGTATCATCGTATGAAGGGAGCGCAACATACTTGCATTCGTATTGTCCTACGACCGTACTCACAACACCGAAACATAAAGTGTGCTGTTTTTCCGTTTTTATTTATAATCAAACCAATTCCCGCGCCTCCGTATTACGGTTTCCGTTGGAGACGTTCCGGAAACGTTCTTAACAAGGAACTTACCGGTCATGGAGGGTTTTTGTGGGAACAGTGGCACGACATCCAATGCTCTGATTTCCGTTAAAAGACTGTAATAAGTCGCCTTCACCAGTCACGGGCGGGTTATTAGTGGGTTGGTTGCGTCGAACGATTTATAATGGTCGCTTTCTCATAGTAACAACTCTTTCTGTGCAAAGCCAGCTGTGTGGCCTAATCGAACCTGAAGACAATTATGGCTCTTTGACGTGTGTGAATACAGTCGTATGGTATCTCAGCTGGCAGCCTGGCACCGTAGCTGGCATTGGTTAAAAAATCCGCATACTGCAATACTGAAATACATACAATCAACCGTTATCCCGGTCTCTGTGTTCACGCTAAGTTGCATTCGATGATGATAACGCTGGATCATTTGAGGTACTGAATCGATCATTTCCGTGAACAAAGTCGGGCAGGTGCAGGCAATAACACACTAGCATCTCTCTGCCTTGATCGGGCGAGACCATATTCCTTTGTTTCCTTGCAGAATACATTTAGAGCTCGAAAAAAGGATGACAATCATGGTTTCGGCAATGAAACAAGCGGTGCCGCTCTACAACGGCTGCCACATCCGTGGTGTAGTCTGGGAGGCGACCATGGTATGGATGGTGCACTTGCGCGTTTGCGGCTACGTTTTTGCTCCCACTGAAAAGCCATCGAGATGGAAGAAGTTTTTACAATGCATATTGGCCATCTACTTTGCGTTGATATTGGCCGCTAAGGCTCTTACTCTGGTTGATGCAATCCGGTCGGGTTACGGGGATCTATCCAACTGGTTCACTTCCCAGATTATGAAACTACTGGACGTGACGCAGATCTGTGGTAATGTACTGGCGATGATCCTGCTCTGCTTGTCTGGTCGACGCATTGCGCAACTGATACATGCACTTGACGAAAGTTTTGCCGTTCGTATAGCCAAAACACGGCTTCGTGCCGTTGCTCTTGGTATGGCGCTATTCTTGCTGATCGTACTAATGAAAAATGCGTATCGAATTTACGCCAAACAGTTTGACCCTTCTGTCGCCCGCGGCATCGAGAATTTTCAGCAGCGCTATCCTTTTATTCAATCGCCAGTTATTGCGGAATACGTGTACCGCTTCTACTGTGCTTTGGACCGAATATTCTACATGGGATACGACTTTCTGGTGGGTTTCATGCTGACCATCATGTTGCTGAGCAGCAAAGGAAAGCGTGCTACTGCTCTAAACTTGGATGGTCGACTGGTTAAGGCCATGGCTATTTTGGCTTTAATCGTTTTGAAATGAGCAGTTTTTCCTTCTGCTTCGAAACGTACATGGAATTTAGGTCTATCTATGTATCCAGTGAAAATTAAGAAAAATTCAGTACGAACCAGCCCAAACGCAACTTAAACGATGCGGTTTAAAATTTGAAATAAAATAATTCCACTAAAAAAGGAACTAGTCTGCACACGCTAGTGGGAAAATTCCATCTAACCAACCAAAAAATCCAGAACATGGTCCTCTTGCACCTTGCGAGGGCTTTTTTCAAAAAACAAATTTTTAAATTTACCGCCTTTAAAAAACACTTTTACACTTGCTGGTTATCGTTATAACTCTAGTGAAACCGAAAATTTTTAATTCGCTCTCGCAATTAAGCTTTTGAGATGTTCTTGCATCTGTTGCCCGAGTTTCAAAAAAGTCTTATAACTCTGAAATTAGAAGTTAATTTTCAAAGTTATTTGGCTGCATTTTTAGCGGCACCTTTCGAAAGTTCATGCAAGTTTATGTCTCCTGTGCACATGTTGGCTGATTCCACTCACCACATGCATCCCGCAACAGAGACTATCCAGACAGCCGAGTGTCCGCTTTGATCACACTTGCGTGTGATCAAAACCTATTGTCTTTCTGTGTTTGCTTTCATTCTACCGATGTCCAGCGACGTTTTATGGCTCGGTATGACAAAAGATGTAGATCGCAAATTTATGTTTCCATTGACTTTATATCACATATTCGCTAGCTTGCATATACTCACGTAATGGTAAGCCGAGCCAATCATTAGATGCAGTGGTGACCACTTTAGGTCGCGTACTTCAAAAATTCATATTTCGAAGTGTACTGATGTTATCGGTTTGAACTTTCTTCCAACTAATAAAGCACTCTTCGTTTAGTATGTTTGAGTTTTTACGGAAAATGTCAATTTAGCATTAAAGCCAAAATAGCCATGGCCTTAAGAAGGAAACAGTGGGTGTGGCTGAGTATTCCCAACGGATATAAATAACGACACGTGTCCGACATTTGGATGCGCATTTGTCGCTGATCGTGGGCCTGCAGTGCTATAATGCCTTAGCCGGCACCATCATCTTCACCTTCACGTGCAGCCGGAATGCGGCCGGTCAGCCGCCTGCGGTAACCGCTATCATCGCTCTGATCGATTGCGTCTGCTCTTTTTTTCTTCTAATCTTCGCCTGCGCGTATTCATGCGAACAGGTACTGCTTCTAAAATTTTATTAATTTTTGTTGAACGTTTTCAACATTTCGTATGAAGTCGTACTATACTTTTTTGTAGGGTCAAAAACTGGTCCAAGTTGCCCAAATTTGCCTTCGAAAAGGAGTGGAAAAAGGATGAACGGAAGACCATGTATCACCGTGGCAGGCGCTGCGCACCGGGGTGTTTCACTGTGGCGGGCGTGGTAATCACGAGGGAGAGCGCCATGCAGGTGCAAGTTTGCGATTCATCGATTTGCGATTTCTGTGCGTTCCTGTTACTCAGGGGCTGTCAGTGGCGTAGCTGGTCAATAAGTGTTGTTTGCTGCTTCCATTTTGGCTCCGGCTGACGTGAGATAACACGCAGTAATGATGAGTGTATTTCCGACAGGTGTGAACCGCTCTGTTAAGCACTCTGGTGGTCTTTGCGGAACTGGCTCGCGCCGCCACCGGCGCTGAAACCGGCATTAGCGCCATCAACGTCACGCAGGTCAATGGCTACGAATGGCATTTGAAAGTCATCTACCGTACATAATCTGATGAGAATTTGCTTTCTAGAACACCTAAGTGCAGGAGAAGCCAGGCATATTTCCGGGTTATCCGTAGCGCATCGTTTCTTGCTAGACCCATCAGTCTATCTCAGTTTCATTACTTCGTGGACAAACCTACATTTGGGGCGATCTCAAATCCGTGTAGCTTATTGTGCTATTGCAAACGCTCTACGAGTAAAAATTGTCGATGATTTTCAGTGCTGATGCAAAAATACCGCCCACATTGCATGCTGTTGTTTAACTTGAACGCCTGCATAGAAACCGCTGCTGCTGCAACAAAAAAAATAACAAATGGAAGACATACAGCTCTGTAGTTCCAAGATAAGATCGGGACTGAGTTTCAGAAAATCGTAGTTTCTAAAACGCCAAAGCTGTTCCCGTCCTGAGACGAATTTATTTAGTTTCAGCGGCTGTTCGACGGAAGCGAGCCTCAGATAAAGTGTGTCTGTAATGTATCGTGCGCTTGAAATACTACGATAGATGCAAAGGGCATTCCAGAAGTAACTTTCCCTAATTTGTATCTCCCGTCAGAAACGCCTTCTGCTGCTAAAATCCATATTGCTACATACGTCTTTCATTAGGGAATGAAATAGCAGATGACTCGGGTTTGTTATATTCAAATTGAGAAAAATTACCGGAAAGAACCTTTGCCATTTTCTCGTGATTTCTTGAGCAGTTTTTAGAATTTTTTTCAATACTCCCGCTTACTTTTTGGGTAGCACGAAATGTAGTTTGTTTAAGAAATCTTTTACCTTCCAATAAGGACTAATAAACAAAACAGTCTACTGAGACGCCTTTTTTTAGGAAAATAAAAACCATAAGGAACTAGATACCAACAAGGAAAAGCAACAGCCGGACGGCAAAACGCTTGAAACAAATTGCTTTTGACGGTGCAAAGTTAAACCAACGTTTATGGGTGCATGAGATTATCTAAGTAAAGCCATAAATTGTACTATTTATTGGAGCGAAGAGTATTGAATTCAAGGAAGCGGGAAAGTTGTAACATACAGCAATCTGGTGCCTTCTGGAAAAAAATAGCTTACATTAGTCTCTAAACCTTTTAAGACATTTTGCCATTATTGTAATACTAACCACAATGCTTGTAGTTAACACTCAAAAATTTCGTTGAAAAGTTTCCAGCAACGCGTGTGCCAACAAAAAGAATAATTTTGAAAGAACGACCATGAAAAATCAGCAAACGTAGCTCGACATTTTTCATTTTTCTTTTCTCCATTTCTTCACCGAAGCTTAAGATTTTTATTTTCTTCGATATCCTAGATAATGGTCTAAGCAACAAAAAATATTTCAGTTGTGCATTAAGTACTGTACTTCAAATGACAAAGAGGCAAATCAAGGAAAGCTATTTTTGGAATGCCCTTTGTAAAAGCTCCCCTTAACATCTGTACGATACCGCCCTTTACCCTGCTGGCCTACTGAAATGCCGCTATTCCAGCAAATCGCTCCTTCTCATGATGTCCAGAAACTTGCCGGGTGACTGTTAATTTGGCTGTAATGGACTGGCGTTTGGCTGAGCCAAAGACTGCTGCTTACTGTGCCTCCGTACTTTTGCCGTGCCGGTATGGCTATGGGCTTGTGCGTTAGACGAAGGTCTCGCCGTTAGACCTTGCTGCACACGATTGGATCCGCCTTGTGGTCTACACCAAATCTTCGACATCGTAACAGTTAGTGCACGGCGGTAGTCTCGTCCCAGCACAAAAAATACAATCTGTCAAATGTGTACAAATCGTTGAAATTATTTAACTGACAATTACGTTGAAAAGAAAAAATCAAAAACTTTTAAGGGATTTAGTCCGGTATATAGCACCAAATTTCTATACATCCACGGCAAGTTTCGCAGTCGCACACTCCCAAAAACTTTTTTTGCATTCTTTATGATGTTTTGTAGCCAAAAGATTCGTTTACATAAGCGAAAAAACCGTTTGTGCGCGCAAAATCCGGTTCGGGAGTTATTAATGAAATAAAAATCCGAAAGCTTAAACGCGCGGAGGTGTGCCAAAAGTCTCATTATGAACCGAAGCTCTTCAAATTTTGCACGTAAACTCTCATTACTATGAAGATCGTTTTAATACCGAACCAGCTTTTTACCAATTTTTTCAAATTTTAAATTAATTTTTAAAATTTCTTTTGGGTACAAAATGTCATAAAGCACTGCAAAAAAGTGTTTAGGAGTGCGTGACAGCAAAAGTTCCCGTGTATGTGCCCGAATTCGGCACTATGTACCGGACCAAATCCCTTAAGAGCCAATATCAAGAAACCTAAAAATAAAATCTATTAATTACCGGTGCTACTGCATAACCGGCAGCATAGATGGTCTTGGTGAGCAGCAACACGTGTTGCAAATACACCGGGACGAGCATCAGCCCCAGAACGGCGATAGGAATGTAGCACGCAGAATACCACACCGAGACAGCAAACAGCACCTTGGCAGTCTTCAGTTGCCGCCGCGTAATGCGGTTGTAAGCGGCATTCTCTGCCGCTGCATCACGATGTTTCCCAAACCACCATGTTGTCAGAACAGAAACGGATGTATAAATGGTCAGCAGGAGTAAATTAGGGACATAAATGCCGATCGCGAGGAAGGAAAGATAATATGAAACATTATGCTTCGTGGGACGAAATCCACAGCCTTTATATGGCATGACGACGACGTATTGACCGCGCACATCGGATAGGAATGGGCAGTTGAGGAAGAACGAAAGGATCCAACATGTGCACATCTACAAAAAATACAAGCTTTGTTTCAGCGGAGATATATTGATCCAAGAGCTACCAACAATTTGTTGTAAGCGAAGAGTTAAATAAACCATGTTATACGTAACTAAACCATGATAAAAATATAAACTGAATCAAATCCACCAACTAAATGATCGAAATTGGAATCGGGAACTATACAGATGTTCCAGCGATAGGCTAGAGTTTTTATGTATGTTACTTGTGTTACCATCATATGACTGTCCTTTTACTGGACCATTTTTTGTAAATCAGCGGATACTGGATCCCCACAAAACGGTTGATTCCGATGCAGACACTGGACCACTGCCCGGCGTAATTCGTGACGTTATAGAGAAAGACTACATACACACAGCCGTTGACCGGAAATACGTCGTACTGCCCAATGTAGGTAATAACGGAGGTCAGTGGGATGTGTACGCAGCACATGACCAGTTCCAGAACAACCAGATGAATAATCAGCATCCTTGAGCCGGTGCGATGCTTGTCCATTTTCAGCATCGGCCACAAAAAGAGAAACAACAGAAACGCGCCAGTGTAACATATCGTTAAAGTCAACGATATCCAAATTTTCAGACCAAACTGGCTGATAAATGCAGAAGAAGCGTTGACAGGATGAAAGTCGTTAGAGGAGACATTATGAGAAGTACGCAAAAATGACGGTCTCGAAACGTTGCTGGATGTGTTCAACATATTAGCACAGAGAAGAAGTATTTCAATGTATAAAACATCACAGCGCTCGGAGATAGAACTGTATGGTCCTCTTATTAAAATGTCCCATGAACGTGGTGATATGCCAACGCAAATATAAATTGGGAAATGTATCTATACGCAGAAATATTAATTAGTCTTGGAGGTATCCGTGCTGTTTGTAACTAATTCTCTGTAGAAGGAAATAGAGCAGTTGCTGGAAGAGAACCAACACCATTAGGAGTTTCGCATAACCGGAAATTATTACGGCATAACTGTCAACCAAACAGAAGCCCACACCCTGTATTGTACAAGCAGAAATCCAATTAATTCTAGAGTAATAAAAGTCAGGCTTGTTGCACCACAGACTAGCAAGCGTTTCTAATGAAATCTAATTAGGGTAATAAAATCTTGAAATGCTAATGACTACGAAGGACATGGAAAGGCTGCTGCGCGGCATCCCATTAAGG